TCCCTACACATACCCACAGATTTAATTAATCGCCTAGATTCCTTCTGCCTTACTGTACCCCGAACTCTTTGAAAATCGTAGTCATGTACAATCAAAAGGTTGTAAGCTCAGGGGAAAAGAGGGTGAAACCAATACAAATGGTAGGAAACAGTTTCCAGGACCTTATCACTCCAGCTGTCTGGAAAAGAAAAGCCGACTTTGATCATCTGTTCCAAAGGTTTTTTTGAAGTCTTAACGTTCTTGCTTCCACGACTTTATATGATAACCAATCATGATGCGACAAAAATCAGGGCTAAATTCCCATCGGTAAGAAGAAAAGAAAAAAAGGATAGGAATGCAATCGCAGTAACAATATCAAATGGTAGCGAAAAAGAAACCAGTAAATCAACCAGATGTGCTAGGGAATCCAGTGACATTCAGGTATCTGAAATTCTGAGAAAATTTCATTGTCTGCACGACCCGAAAATTCCGCACCCACGGTGGTAGGAGTGCTCCAGCGAGCAAATGCAGATAAATGAAATTTTCTCAGAATTCCGTAGCAGATACTTCTGACCGGGTTGAATACGCAGAATGCATTTTCGTGTTACTCAATGTGAGAGCCCCATCCACTGAACTAGCCCAGACTTTTTGAACCATACGAACCTTGGTTTTTCCTTTAATAGAAAAATTAAATCAAAAAATCAAATGCCTTGAAAAAGAATTTAAATAGTAGCTTGCCTGAGGCACAACAGACAAGTACAGAAATGAAAAAGATACTGTAAATTCTTAGGTAATGAAAATCTATTTTCTTAGGTTTCAAGGGTCACCCACAAAAATTATTATAACTGCCCGTATAACTGTAATTGTTTAAACATTTTTGCAATTTTCTTGCATTACTTATTACAAAACTTTTAGTCAAAGTGAGAAAACCGGTGGGGAAGCTAAAATTCGTTTTTTCTGAAGAATTTCGAGTGAAGTGCACCCAGAATTTCTATGTAAACATTAGAAGTCATTACTGGTAAACAATCAGTTTAGAGCAGCATTGGAGGAAAATGACCCAGACAAAAAGAATATGACATATAAACACAAGTGTTTTATCTATATGTTCCAGGAAACTAGGCTGAAATCGGAACGAAACAGAAAAGGAAGTTCAAAAAAGAGGAAAATAGTGAATTTAAAAGGATTTTTGTAAATTAAATAAGACTCGCTATCATATCTGCAGTTTTTCAGCAAGTGATTCAGTCCCACTGAAAACTTTTGCCAATTAAAATGATGATGAATTGTTGGACGAGTCGAAAACGTTATAAAAACAAGGAAGGAACGGCACGCAGTAGTGAAAGTACAACTGGATGCGAGCCAAATCAATGCGGCCGAAACGAGCGCGGTCGTAACGACGCACGACAACTCGTCCACGCCCAAGCAATCAGGCTACCACTTCAAAGGGGGTCAGTAATCAACTAAATTCAGTTCCATGGAAGCTTCGCTAAATAGGAAAAGCGTTGAGCTAACGAGAAGTTCATTCAAAAGAGCAAGCAAGGATGGTACGTACGGTAGCTGGAATAGCCCGTAGTTACAGATTTATTCTTTGAATTACCCTTCCAAGGGAAAGAAACTTCTGTGGGCAGAGCCACAATAAATGAGTAATCAAGTATGCATGAGTCAGAGGATTGGGTGTGTCCACTGAACCAGTGGCTATACGTAACAACGCCTGGTCAGACTTACTGCTCATTTCCAACCAGTTCATACTAGAGCCGCAGAATCAGCTCCACCAAAAAGGGATCGTATAAAGTAATGATGTGATGGACCTTCGAAATTTTTTTGTGTTGGGATTGGTATGTGTACCCGGTCCGGGCCGTATTTTGAAGAGAAACGGGGGGAACGGCGACACCATTCTGGAACCTATTCCCAGATGGATACCTCGAAGAGGTACCATGCCATAAATCTAACAAAAGAAAGTGTAAGTTGACTTTCTCCCCTGCATTCAAGCTACGCAGCGCTTCATTCTAAGCCGAAGTAGTGCTTAGATTTGACCGCAAATCTTGTCCTGCGATGGCAATTATGACCCCATCTGTGATTAGAAGGGTTCAGGAGCTTTCTCATTGATAGAAACCTATGGCTCCTACGAAGATTAGACTGGGAATTACCGGACGTTGGACTGTTGGACTTAGACAGGGCAATAAGGACCCAAAAGTCGGTCCCGATGCTTAGCTTAGAAAAAGAACAGTTCAAAGCCTCTTCCTTCCAGATTTTCTGCATTCTTTTTTCGTTTTTCCGCCATTCTTAAGCATCAACACTGTTTCCCATAAACTCAGAAGAATATGGATAGAATCGCTTCAATTTGGGCCTCTAAGCCCTTCTGCTTACACTCGTCAAAAAAAGGAAAAAATTCACATCAAAATTTGAACAAGAAGTCAGGAACAGGTACAACTTCCTTTTCACAGGAGAGTGGACGAGTTGAAGTTTGCTCGGCGCTCTTATAGCCGTGGGAAACAGTGCTGAACACTCCTACAAAGGGTTAAGCAGCACTGTTCAGAATAGCAAACGCGGGCTGCCAAATTCTGCGCGTTCTCGACTTGAAGAGGACAATGTAAAAACAACTGAGTCAAATACAGTTCATCGAATACCTCATTTGCAAGATTAGATCCATTCACTCACTAAGCAACCCTTGCGGAAGATTTTTTTACTCGAAGGTAGAACGAGCTCCAACTCCTGTTCGTCCGCGCTCCTGTTACTCTACGCTGTTCAGAGCCCCTTACGCTCTTTCGTGCCCACACAGCTGTCATACCCAAGTTTCAGCGAGTAGAGTAAAGTTAGCGATGGATAAGACAGTAGCAAGTAGAATGATACTTTTCATTAGCCAGCGAATCAGGCTTCAATCCCTCCGGATTCAGTTGTTCGGCTTTAGACTCGTCTGTCGGGATGAAAGCACCGACTCTTCTACATCGGCTGGCCACTGCAATTCAGGTAATAGGTTACATACCCATACAAAACGCCATCCCAATTCCGAATGAAAGTCGTATGCGGTAGCGCGCTTGAAAAACGGAACTGATCAACGTTGGAGACTTGTCCTCCATTACGTTACTGTACAAATCTAATAAGACGAACCACCTTAATGGGGTAGCATTTCAAACAAATCACATTTGTTTTACGGAAGCAAGGTCTAAAAAGACATAGTTTGGAAAACAAGCCTCGCGAAATTGAACCGAGTTCTAGTCTGGGATGTCATTAAGCCTAATATGTACCTTGGCTGATTCCCACCTATCATTATAATAGGCAAGTCAAATATGTCTTTGAAGGCGGTTACCAACCAAACAGAAAGAATCACCATGGGAGAGAATGCAAGCGAACATACTCTCTGCTCACCCATTAAACGTGATTTATACCTTTAGTCTATGAGACGGCATAGTGGTAGGTGGCGTACTATCATGAACATGGTCGGTTCGAGAACCGATGCTTGGATCAATACCCGCCCACGCTAACCTAGCCTTCTGTCCCTCGTGGACCAAAATTATGTGATATGAGACTCGACTGGGAGGGTGGAAGAGGTAGAGGTCCCAGTAATACAACCATGATTAGTCTCAAAGTTTTGTTAGATGTAGATGACTTCTATCTTCCCAACGAGCCTGGTACTATTTAAACGATCCCGGGGAACCTTCTCCCTCTCCTACTCCCTGTAGTCTCACTGGCTCCAGTTCTCAGTGGTGCACATTCGACCTTTCTTCAAAGGTTATCTGAAAAACGTACTAATCCCCTGAAGAAGTGCACGATAGTGTGTAAGGCGAAAAAGAGGAGGAAAACCGTCGGAAACATCGTAAAGTACGATGTGTATAGATGTCAGCTGCACTTGTGCAAATGGTGGAATGGCGGGGGTAAATTAATGGCTCTCATTGAGTGATAGCGTTCATAGTACTGTTGGCAGAACGACAGAAAGAAATTGAGTAAATAAACAAATAGTCAAGCATTGATTACCACCTCTTTTAAGGGGAAAAGTTAAGGAAGACTTCAGACAAGGAGAGTTTATGGGAGAGAAAAACTGGTGAAATGACATGAAAGTGCCGTCGTTGGGTCGTTTTTGCTGTAGCGATGTTTTCTATTCGGTTGCGAAACGATCAAAAGAATGTAAATGTTGATTTTGATGTCTCAGAATTCGGAAATGCGGAAAGTCAAAACAGTTTCGATCAATAAGCGATTGGTAGAGGTGAAAGACACATTTTCAATTACTTTTCGGAACATAAGCATAGTTGTTGTTCGAATGGCGACAATAATTGAATCACATGAAAACAAGTTTCATCACTTTCTGAAGGGAGCAGGGAAATGAATTAGTAATGCCTCACAAAACCTAACGAGGTCTCTGGCAATATAGGTGTTGCCACGAGAGGACCCACACATTTGACTAAAAGCGAACTGGCGCAGCTGGTAAGGTGTCAGATTTCATACGCACGTGACCACTGGTACGTTCTCACTTGAGCCGGATTGTGCTGCACAGCCAGTAATTTGCAGTTACTGGACTTTGATGCTCCCAAGACTTCTTGTGGAGGAAGGCAGCATAGAAGCACAATTCTCAACCTCCCAAAGTGTTCAATTCCGTTCCCAATAGAAAGAAGGTACATGTATTAGTCCGAAGCTCCTTCAAAGGTGACAACTCTTTGAAATACTGAATAACAAAAATGTAGAGGTCTTTTTTTGTAGAAAAAAATCGATAATCGATCGGTAGCATTATCAGAGGGCAATGGGACTTTCACGATGGGGGTGAATGCGCACATTAACTGAAGCTAGTGAGCAGTGTAAAGACCTCTCTCGGCCGCCATCGTCGTTGAGATTCGAACGGCCGATAGGGCAGCAGACACAGTGACGACTCCAGCTGGCGTATCAGCCTTGTCTACTGCCTTGACAAGCCATTGATGGTAAATGAGCGACATAGTTAAGTAGCTCTGTATGAGATCAGTGTATGTAGGAACGGGTGCATGTCCAACCTTAGTCAACGAAAGGAAAAAAGGGTGTTCCATCCTACAAGGCGAACGCACAAAACTGGGTAGTGAGTGAGTCATGGTCCCGAATCTGAAGCGATACCCCCTTAAAAGAAGAACCAAGTTACGTTTGAGGGTGAATTTCACCGGCAATGACTCATAGTCGTCAGCGGTCGCATTGAAACTACGACGTTTTTCTCGCGAGGTAGCCGATAGTAGTTCTTTCTAGCGTTGAAGTAATCAAATATTGATCGAGGACCACATTATGCCATACAGGTCCGGAATTATGGCTGATTCAATTGGTTCGCGTCAAATCAACCTTTCCAGTGCACAGCCTCCGACAAACAGGAATGTCACCACCTGGAAAATGCAGGAATAGGTGGAAGCTGGTAGCTCATATAAACCCGGATTTTTTCATACGGTTGTGAACTCCTTTCACCAAAAATGGGGGAGAAGTCAGAGTATCAGACAAGTAAAAGCACCATACCCTCTGTCACTAGCTAGATGGAAAATCAATTCGTAGCCGGTCAACTGGAGCCTATGGAACTAGTTCTACTGGGAACAAAAAAAAGAGGAGAATTGACAGCAAATAGAAGCCAGCGAGGACAGTTTTTTCTGAATTACCTGCCTGGTGGTGTAAGTAAATATTGATACCTCGCGATGATGAGGTCGGTGAAGGGTAAGTCGGCTTTTATGAAGGTTCAAAGCTACAGGGAAGCAAACATATGACTGTTCTTCAACTTATGTACACAGAAAACGTTTTCTGTGCCGAATGGTTCTCTTTAGCTGCTTAAAAGACCCCTTTACTCTTGTCATCCTACTGTATGCAACATACTGGGTGCAACTCAGGTCCATCACCCTTGTCGTGTACAGTGTCGAGTGGTCCCTACATTACCTAGGACTAGTCGGCCAAGAAGAACAGCACGTACACCATACTGGCACAGATTGAAAGAAAAAGTTAGGGAGGCAGCAGAAGAACATACTGAAAATTGCAACGGAATAGAGAATTTTCTATTGACCCTAAATTGGATTCCTTTGTAAGACTCTATAAGTATAGCTGAAAGTCGTATTCATTTCAATAAATAGTACTTGAATTGTACATTTACCGGGTTGAAACATGTGTCTTGGAATACTAACATCGTGGGTTGCGCCCGCGAACTCGGCTCCAGCATGGGATCGTAGTGCCTTGCTAGGCCTATACATTATTGAGTAGCGAGCAGATAAACAAGTCGTCCTAGTATACCGTCCCTCAGTGATGAAATGCCGAATAATGGACACCGGAAAAGAGGAGGTTCGGTTTTGGCAATAGTCCGGGAAACCATTCCTTTCCAGCCCAGAAACAGCGCCATTGACTCCAGTCCCTTCCTTCAAATAGTATAGTGGCTATAAAGAATAATTATACTCATCTCATGTCCCATCTATAACTTGAGATTTGGCTTCACAGAGCCAAATCCCAAATTGCAGATGGGACAAGAGATGGATTGTCTACTAGTGATCTTTGAGAAGCAAAATGTGAGACTACGAATCCGTGAGTGAGAAAGGAGAGTTCGCTGACATCGCTGTAAAGACCTTTCTCACACCCATATGTTGGACAAATCGTAGACCAGAAAACTCGGACATGACGAAATATCGGATTCGCTGGTCTTTAATGCAGCAATAAATATGATTGTCGATGTTTGAGAATTCAAAAGATAGTGAGAATGTCTGTTCGTAAAAACGTGGTCCCTGAGAGAAAAGTGGACGCATTTATAGACGCTCAAAAGAAAATCCACAATCGAACAAAGATGAACCCAAAATCTAGGAAATTGAACGTCTTTCACAAGTCGACTCATAGGAAGAAACTTCGCCTATGACTATGACTTAAGGGTGACGGAGAAGAGAAAAACATAGACTACGATAGGGTTAAGTGAAAGGAATGTCAGAACAGTCGAGAAGGAAATATGAAGTTCAGGCATAAAGATGAGCGGACGTTTTTTAGATGTTTCTTGAGAAGTCATTAAAATTCATCCTACTCTTAGAAATTTCAAGTAACCGCTCAGTATTCGAAAAAATCTTTCGTCACCTAGCTGGCCGACTGCCATCAGAGCTGACTAAAGTCACTGAAAATTGTGGCAGACTAGGGTTTTTCTCCTTTTGTCAACAACAACCTTGAATCGCGCTAGTGACGAACAGGTGGCATCGATTTGACAACGACTAGGTGGCAACAAAAACCACTCAGGAATCTGCGACTCCATTGCTCAAAAAGGAATAAACAATTGAGAGCAGGGAGCTGACGGTTGACTGAAAAGAGAGTTGGTTTAATAACTCGAGCTGTAGTTTTTACACAGGGGATTTATTCTGAAGCATTTCTTTCCAAATAACCGTGACTCCCTCTCCACCAGTTGCACTTTGATAATTCTAGTGTCCAGCTCCGGTTTTGAGAAGGTCCGGAGTGCTAGACTTCTTGAGGCTCCAGACTGCGCTTAAATGATTTATGAGACCGATCACAGCGAGACGAGAAAAGATTTTCATATTATGGTTGAGGACTACATAAAAAAAATCATAGGCCATGAGGGCAACTGAAAAATTTGAATCAATGCACAGGTCCATCATGCATTCAAATGTACATGTGATTCCGAACAAAACGCGTGTGCGTGGCGAAACTGAAAATTGTTGGGCAAGGACAGGTTCTTTTCTTTTCAACTTTTGACACCCTGAAACCCGAAAAAAAANAAAAAAAACCTTAAAAGTATCATACGACACGGCTGCTTCCCACATTTCCTCACATCTTCCTTGTCGCGACACGTTTGGATACGCCATGCACTTGACTCTTACACTTACAATCATAAAGGTTTCGAAAACACCGACGTCTCCTACAATGACTGGCGATGACAGTGCTAAAGCATCCCTCAAATCGCCCCCGGCTGTGCCGTGACGGACCTGAATTACTCTACCATCTCATTTGCAAACATTATACCGATAGATTAGCCACCACTGAATCCCTCTGAACTTGTCAACCACCGGAAAAGCTCTCTACCAGCTAAGGTACACTTTCGTGCCACGTGTCCTCCACGCTGGAAAAACTCGACGACAAAGCTCATTCTTTTTAGATCCACCACTATGAAACGACGTTTGTGCGATTATATATACCCTATTGGCATTTTGGCACTGGGATTTTTATTTGGACAGAAACTGGGACACCTCACTGGACTTGAATACAGAAGGCCGTTGAAGAATTACACCATTGAAGGTGAGCATAATGAGCAATGATTTTTTTCTATAATGAGAGAGCAGTCTAGACGGCAATAGAAACGTTGATTGTCAGGTCGATTTTCCCTAGGCAGTATTATTGAGTTTATTGTTATTCTGAACTCTTCACGAGG